AGTTATTTAAAGCAGCCACATCTACCAGCACAGGGAGGAGGAGGAAGTAGTTTTACACCAATTTCTGGAACTGCCTTACCAAGTAGTAGTAGTAGTAGGAGGAGGAGGAGGAGGAGGAGGAGGAGGAATCTATACCACTTGCTGGAACTGCCTTGCCCAGTGGAGGGCTTTGTAGGTCAGGGGCAAGAAAGGATAGATTCTGTCTCCCCCCTCTCCCTCAGGTGTCCACAGATAGATTACAGTGTCACAGGATCAGGCTGTTTTGCTGAGAGCAAGGGTAGTAGGATCAGGTCATTCTCTCCTGGAGCCACGCACAGTCAGTATATTGTATGAATATGGACCATCCTGAGTTATACTTTTGGAAAGGAAAAGGCAATCTCAAAGGATTAGCAGCTGCTACAGGGAAATTAGGGAACTGCAATCACAACCCTCCAGGAGGACCTTGTTGGTGAAGCTGCGTACCCAGCTGATGTACTCGTAACCAGGTCCAATCTTGCTAGATCCACATTATGCAACTGCAGCACGCAACAATCAAGCCCTTACACCAGCCTGTGAATTGGGCAGGTGGAAACACTCTGTTGCTTCCTGCAACTGGCATTCAGAACAAGGAGAATAATTAGACCCATCAGGGCTCCATTCCTACAGATTTCCCTCCACCCCTTTGGAAAACATGACTACGCCCAGGGCAGAGAGTGCCATAAACTCATGACTAAGTAACTGCAACTTCTCTCCACCTGATTTGCTCCCTTGCATAATTTTGAAAAGATCTTCTGACCTGCTTGGAAACCCTGCTTCTTGTTGCTGTCATGGGGTTTCCATTGGTTTGCTTGAAATTTTACAAATCCAAAGGTATTAAATTGTCCTCGCAAGGACGTTCTTTACAAACTTGGTAATTGGCTCGTCAGTTTTGGAATCACGTCCAGATCATTGTAGACACTAATATAGATGTTCAAGAAGGGGTGACATCATTTTCAAAAAAAGGGGATAGAATTTTTTTAAAGCCAGGCAGCTCCTGAGTGCTCAGCTTTAACAGGAAGAAGGATGGTCTGTGTTCCTGTTGACAAGACTCCATGCAGACACAAGCACCGAAAGGCACAGTTCTTTCTAAAGGACAAACTAAAACATCTCCACAGAAGCAAAAATTAAAAGTTAACTATTAATTTGAAGCCACCGCAGAATAAGTCCTGGGTCCTCCTTTAACTTTTCCCTTCCTGGTCCCACCTAATTTCCATTTCTCCTCTGGCTAACAGATGTACAGATGCTCATTTAATATATTGCATTGATTCAAGCAGCAATGAGTTTATGTATCAATTCAAATAGCAATGAGTTTTAGCCCCTAATTTGTTAAGCAGAGAAGAGAACCCTGCATGGTCTTTTTTTTTTTTCCAGTTTCCAAGAACTTTTGCAAGACACAACTGGCAGATGGACTGTGGACTTTGTCTCCAAAGCAGACTTTCAGTGTGCCAAGAAAAGCCATCACTGAACATTGAGATGCAACCATCATTTGGCTGAACCACACAGAATGGAAGAATTATGCAGAGCATAATTCCCTTCTCCTCGGTGCCAAAGAACCCGGTCACCCTTAAAAACCCTACCACTATAATTTCTAAGCTTACTTATTATGGTCTAGAAGCATCTTCCAAGGGAGGGAGGAAGGAAGGAAGATATTTGTGTCACATTGTGTCCTATCTGGATGAAAAGCAGTGATGTTGCAGGAAATATTGTAAGCCCCTTGGTGGACAGGGTGAATAAAAGCTGGAGGCCCAGAATAAAAATTCAAGCACCATGACTGAAGCCTCCATAGAAACAGGATGTTTTTTGGCTGCACCCCCATCCCCCAAAAAGTATTTTGCTGATCTAGCAAGTAGCATATAGAGGGCTTCATGCAGAGCAGATGTATTCAAGTTTGCCAGGTGCAAGCAGGTGTCCAAGACTGGATTTGGTGGATGGCACATCTGGCCAGCAGCACATCTGGCCCTATGAAATCTAGTCACTAGATCTGATGGAAGAATGGCTCACTTCAATCCTCCCTTTGTGGTCCAACCTTTTTCTAAAATATAATACTAAAAGGTGGGTTAGACAGGATAATTTTGTAGAGAAATGCCCTCCAAAGATGGGGAATGGGGAAAAATTCCTCCAAGGTTAATTCACCTTATAAGCCCCTTCCTTCCCCAGGTATTAAAAGCAGGAACAACCAGGACATAATCTTAGTGGAAGCACTTCAGAGCTTACCTTGGGGAAACTTGGGATCCAACCAAGGAACCAGGACTGAGCAAGGAAGTAGCTGGAAATGACAGAAATTGTACTCCAATCAAACCAGAGTTGATTGGGTTGGAAAACAGCTATTTAACAGAGTGGGGCCTTTGCGTAGGTATACATGGAAGCTATAAATGACCTTCCCATCATTCAAAGAGGGCTTTTTTGGGCTGCATAACTCCATTATGATTTGGTCTTTGGTTGTAAAATGAAATACGTGAAAAATAAAACTGTCTCCCTGTGCACCAAGATGGATTGTTGTCTGCTGCCATTCCGTATCAATGGATTTCAATGGGGAAAAATGCAGAGGGAGCCTGTGGCTGATCTCAGATGTGGGATGAGGCACCCAGGATAGGTTGTAATGTCAAAGCGTAAGAGAGAACGCACTGGCTCTCTGAGTTTCCAGAAACAGAATTATGGCTTCCTTTGCCACGTCCAGCACGTCTACAAGAATCAGCAAGCAATAAGACAGCCAACAAAATGGATTTTCTACCTTGTTGCAGCTAGCAACAGTTCTGAGCTGATGTGAGCACCGAGCTCTAAGCTTTCAGACACAATCTCTCTGAATCAACTTCCTCTGCTTGAATGAGTTCCAGCGGTACAGATATCAACTCCCAGAATTTTCAGCAATGGCACGCTTGCTGGGGAATCCTGGGAGTTGGAAGTCTGCCCACCCGAGGGCACCCAGATTGGGGAAAGTTGTTCAAAATGACATCAAAGGCAGCTTTGCAATGACAAAGCTCATGAACCTTGCTTGTGGCCTGATGCTCATGAGGTCTCTGGAAAGCAGAAGAAAAGAAACTTAGATATTGGTGTACGGTATGCAGTATGGATACAGAAGGATTCTGTCCAGGTAAACCTGTAAAATTCTCACCAGGAAAGTGGAGATGCTAAATCTTGCTTCACTAGTTCTTGAAGAGCAAAATCTATTCCCTGGATGTGATCTAAGGAAGGGCTCAGAATGGCTTGCTTCTTTCATTTACGTGCTTGCTTTTTCACCATCCAATGGTTGCAAACAGACCGTGAATGGGTAGATTCCAAAGAGTTTTGTCTGAACATACACATGTGGATCACAGCCATACAGATGAGTACGTGCTGTCAACGCTCCAAAATCGGGGACATGCAGGCAGGTCAATGACACCGACACTGGTCCAATGGAAACTTCTCAAGAAGATGAGGTTGGGAGGGTGGGGAAGAAAGAAGAAACTAGTATCCTAGTGTCCAATATACTGAATTATTGAATTGTCCCAAGATTCGGGGTTAATTACCTCCATGACTGTAGTAGGCTGTGCCCTCCCATTGTCATCAAGGTAGCGTGAGAGTTGGTAGGACATCCCAGCTGCCTTGAAAGATGGTTAAGCATTTCTCCTCATGCCTCACACAGACAAATGGACATGTCAACACATACATACAACCCATGCATTCATCCTCATAATGTCAGTACTGTGGTGTACCACTTGTCCAGTGAGAATACGTCCATCCTTTTCTTGTTGGAGACATGGCTGATACTATAAATTACCTTCTCTTTGTATACTATGTTATAGGCAACAGGTCAGTCCGCAAAAACAGGCTGGAGAAGATTGGACTCATTTCTCTCGATCCTCTGTGTAGTGCTGGAAACGCGTGAAGCTCATAAAGACTTGCTCCAAGGAGATTTGGCTCACGGAATAATCTTCTATGCAGTACTTCTCTTTGGCTTTCTCTAGTGTCCCAAACACCTGGGAGACATAAGACACACAGGGAGAGAAAGGGGTCCTTGACAGAGTGCTCCTTCCATGCCACAGCCTCCATCCGAGGTACATAAACTTATGAGATGTCAAGGCCAGCATGGAAAAAGGAAGTTGGGTTCCCACTAAAGATCTTAGCCTTCACGTGTTGAGCTGTTCTAGACTCTTCCCTGTTCATTTGTTACAGGTTACTTCTGCAGCACTGTACAAATATGCAACCCTTTTCTTAGCAAGGAAGGAATTTGCACCATTGGCCATTGCTCCAGTCCAGCCGAGCTGTTTCTCCCCAGCCTTACCTGTGCCCAACTGAGGTTCTTATTGGTGAGGTGGTAATGGACCATGCCCTGATGTTCATGCTTCAGGATGCTCTCTGGGAAAGGGAAAGCAGAAGATAAGCCAAGTCTGTTTTCTAAGACACCCCTCCTCCCCAAAGAACAATCTGCAATCCTTATTAAGCGTGGTCAACCATTGGATGAAAATCTCTGCCCTGGTTTCCTACCGCTTTGGGGGATTCCCTTCCAAAGTACTACTGTGCATTTTTAATGTCTCAACTAAATGTTCTGCAAAGGCACAGTGGATTGTAGGTGTCCCATATTGTCAGCCCCACTAGGTAAACCAGACCAGGAAATCAACTTCACAGGAAGGCTAAAACGTGTTTGTTGAGACTGGTTGTAATAAGTCTTGCCAAGTATAATTCTGCTGGACCTCTTCCCCCTTCTTATACTCCAGAGAATCAGGGAGGTGTCTACCTGAACTGCTTCTTAATGTTATCTCATTGCTTTGGACTTCATCTCGTTTTGCTCCAGAAGATGCTTCATCTCCTTTTGCCTATCTCCCTCAAGGTCATTTTCCTTACCCTCTATACCTGTGTTTCTCAACTCTGACAACTTTAAGAGGTGTGGGGTTTTATTTTCTAAAATTCCCCCCCCCCCCCAGTTGGGGGGGGGAGTTTTTGGGGTG